TAATATGAAAAGTGTGTTGGTGCTTTGTCATTGTAATTCAGCCACAAGGAATATCTGCCTGGAAAACACCGTCTACTCTACGATTATGTATTTTACTTTAGCACTTTATAAGAGTAAAGCTATGACCACAATGCGGATGGAGTCATCTTATGCAAGTATAATCACTGGGTGGTTCAATAGACAGAAAAGAATAAAATTAGGACAGGAATTTCTCTACAAATACCGTTTGCAAAGCATTGCTGACGGACAAAGGACTATGGCCATGCAAGACAACCTGGGGAGGACAGAGCTAGGCAAGGGGCAGAAACGACCAGATGATGGCTAGCAATGATAGTCAACCTTACATTAAGAATGAACTTGAAACACTGACTTCACACTGCATTCCCAGGTCCCAGTAAGGTGCCTTGACAGCGATTCTCCCAGCTTTATTGATACCAGAAAGGCTGCCAGGAAGGTTTTCATGGTCCAAATGTCAGGGAAATGGCACAGAATACGATCACACACGTTACAGACAGACTACAACAGCTGCCCTTACGAGGAGCCAACTGATACCCTATGGTTTGAAATCAAGACAGCCACGGCCAACTGCTTCAGAGCCGCAATCTCAAGCCACACAGAAGGAATGTGGAAACTTCACCAGTATGTGCCGGCGTGCTTCAGGGTTAGCATGAAGATGGCTGTTTGGCTGACTTAGTTGTTCAGCTCCAAACTTTAAAACTGTGTTTGCATCTAGCACAGAAGGAGACAACCTTCTCAACCAAAGGCAAAGACTCAAAAATTGGTCAAATTGGTCATCAAACATAAACCATCTATGCAAGAAATTCTTGCAGTCAAACTACTTGGCTATGAACAGCCATGTGATCTCCCTTCTCTTCCACTTTAAAGACTACATTAACCACAAACATTTCACGTCATACAATTGCATTAACCCAGAATGCCAGCAGATGACTGCAAAACAATCCCTCTCTTCTTTTTGATTCAACAACAAAAAATAGCTCAAATTTGGGAAGTTCTGTCAGCATCACTGGACTGATCACTTGTGTGATCTCAAGGTACTAGGGATTCAGCTCTCCACGTGCTAATCCCAATTGTGCTCTGGAGCGCCATCCCGGACAGCTCTGCCTGTCCAAAACAAAACCGTACAATGAAAGAAATAATCATGAACCATGGAGAAACGGGGAGGTGAGACTTCTCCATTGCCACCACGTGGTAGCGAGCTCTTCCCCTGAGGGCATTGGGATGGTAATCCTGAGTATGGATTGCAAGCCTGAGACATGCTCTCTCCCCACCTTGTTTCTCTTGGAGTAGTCACTGGGACAGCATCCTGCTGGTGTTAGGTAAATGGGAAGATCTACCCCATACACAGTTAATTACCTGCCCACTCAGCAGCTTCTGTACTGGAAAGTATTACAGGAATATGTATTATATAAGTAAAAATGCAATGGATACCTGGGTTTGTCATCATTCCACAGTATGTCTGTTAATATCATAGCTACAGTAAACCACAGATTGCATTCTGATTTCTTTTTTCAGATTTTCTTTCCCAAGGGATGATAAGAAGTAATCTCCCTGTTGTTACAAATGTTTTATTTTGAAAATAAAGCTTTTATGCATATTTTAGTTGATCTAAATACAGTAGATCTTGGGTTTTTAAATCACCAGATAATATGCAATTATCTCAAGCTAGATTCTGATTTTGAAACAAGCTCTAATTAGCTCCCCATTTTATGCTGCTATAATCCTTTCTTCAACTCCCATGAGTGTTACTATTGCTAAGCAGCATGAGGTTAGGAATGATGGATGATACCCAGAAAGGAAGACAAACAAAAGGGAAATTCAAAATCCCCTGAGATCACCCGCAGCTGTATCGGCAAATGAAGATTTCCACATTAGGTCATAAGACGACCCTTACAGAAACACATACCAAAAAGGCATGTCTTTTTCCCACTGAGTATTTGCAAGTCTTTAATGTAGTATATAGAGAGTATATGTATGTCCTTCACAGAGGATAAATACAAAAGTGCATGAAAATTCAGCTTTCCGGGGAGCAGCTATGAAATCAACAGCACCAAAAAAGAAACTTTGTCTTAATGTCAGGTAGATGCTCAGTAAGGACCTAAGACCCCCAAACAAAACAATCTAATAAGAGCTACACATAGTACAAGTATTTAGAAAAATATCCAAGCACATAGACCTTCTTCTGGCACATGGCTACTGTCCAAAGCCAATCCGGCTCTGATCATCAGTAATGCAACTAAATAAGGGCCAAATTCATCACGAAAAAATGCTGATGCAGTTGGGTGACACTAATTCAACTTTTTTTTCCATGTGATTTGGTCCGTGCTTTTGACACATAAATCATTAAAAAGGCAGATTTACCCAAGGGCATTAGAGCATTTAGGTGGAAAGAAATACAGAGAAAAAATGTTAGAAAAGGCACAGTGATACTATTTTTGACCACCTAGGGTACAGACACCATTTTTGTGTAAAACACATTCGCTGAAACTTGCACAAAATCGCCAAAGCCTTGATGAAAGGTCACAGGAAGAAAATACAGATATATACCTGCTTGTAATTTTGGTATAGACTAAACCCAACGCTTATCCATTCATTCCACCATGTAAAAGACTGATGGGTCCATCTGTCCACATGTGACAATGGAAAATTACCGGACAAAAGAACAGATTTTCATGAATGAGGTGTTAATCAAAACCTTATGATCTAGAAGTGTAACTAACTGGGTCAGAAATCCAGAAAACCTCGCTAGTTTGATAGAATAGTGCCAAACGGTAATGAAAATATTCACAGCTAATAAAAGTTTGAGACATTACTATGCATGTTGACACTCTGTACACTGAAGACCTTCTTGGCAAAGCACTCAGGAGCCACTGAATGTATTAGTTTAATTTCACTTTTTTCCCTTCATGCATTCAACAAGTTCCAAGCCAATTATACTACATGGAAAAAAAGCTCCAGACCTTTTCTCGTTTCAAAATTGTTCTGATTAATTTCTGTTTTAAAATTACAAGTATGCAACCTTTTCTGCCTTGATTTTCCTGGGAAATGTCTCAGAAGACCAGAAAATTGGAGCTGTCTTTTTTTTTTCCCCTGCCCTGGAGTGGAGGATCTTTCACAAATGCATAATTATTACTACCTTTTCCAAACTGTTTGCTGCGCTTTTAATTACAGAACAGCTGCTAATAAAAGAAAATTACCAAACTGCCCTTCCTCATTCAAATAACTTGGTTTCGCTCTTTTGTTCTGCGTGGTGTCACAACCTTTCTCATTCCTTAATACAGAGAAAGGCACCAAGAAGAGAATGTCTGGTAGAACAACTTTATTTTTAATCATCAGAAAGGAGGAAGAAAAGGGCACGCGCCCATTTTCTCATTTGTAAGTCCGTTTTAAGGAAAGGAGGAGGGCGATCATCAATAATATGATTTTATTAGCTGATAGGAACGTGTTGCCTCACAAAATATTAGCTCAAGGGCAGGAACTGACAAACGAGATTGGGAGTGTGGGAGGAGAGCAAAATACCACGGCAGCAAAACTGAACTTGCGGAAGGAAATCACTTTCAGCTACCAGCGATCCTCCCGGGAATCCGTAAGGTGGTCGGGTTTTAATACTATGGGCTTGTCTTTCAATCTTTTATAATTACAGTTAGTCATAAATATGATGATTAGCAATAACAATACAGCCTTTTCCCAGCTCCTCTGATTTCAAATTCCTCTTAAACCGGCTACAATTAATTACTCATATTTTCCATGCTGTCTTAGGCATTTATAACTGTAACAGTTACCCTTGCATAGTATTGATGCTACAAAAAAGTAGTCACTGGCATGCTTTAATGAACAGCAGCGGATCAAACATTGCAGGAAATTTCCATGTTTGCTAAATGCCTGGCTATAAGTAACAATAGCCCTATGATTGCAAACAATTTTTTCCCATTTTGGTTTTGTTTTCATGGCTTGTTTTTAACCAGGGGCATATTTCTTTTTTTTTTTTTGCTTTTATCTATTTATTTTCAACTGTTCTTAAGAAAAACGTGGACTGAATATCATCATGGATTTTCTTCTAGTAAAATCTTTTAGAATGCAAAATAGTTTCGCAGTAGAGAGAAAAAGCAGTTTGGTTGGGATATTCGGAATAAACCCAGCAAGCTCCAGAAAAAGAAGAGTGTTTCAGAACAGCAGAAAGGTGGAAGAAGAGCATGACCCATCCTTCTCTGTATCCTGAAATGCAGTCATTCTCCAATACAGGGCACTGGCTGTAAGTACACAGCAGGGCACAAGTATTTTTCTAGAGTACAAACCAGCCCGAGAGGTTTACGCCAGTTAAGCGTATCATTGGTAAAAAGTCTGTGTGGGTAGAGTTTGGTATCTAACAGCAGGAACACAGCTGTTCTGTTCCAGCCTCCTTCCTATGCTGTGGCCATCTTACAAAACCCTTAGCAATCCCCTCCTCTTTGACGCTCATCTTTGCTGCCTCTGCTTTTTTGCAAACGGAAAGGGAAGGGAAGGGAAAAAGGTTGGCTTGGAATATTTAACGAAGCTTGAAAAAGAGAGACATAATGTGGTCTTTTCCCCACCTTCGAATTAACAAAGCAGATTTTGTGCAAATGAAAGTGGAAAAAAAAATATGCCAGCAAGTCAGGCAGCTGGAGTATGTAGATCCCATTACAAACGAAAGGCTTGTTTTACAGCCATTGTCACATGTCAAGTTGATAAGCCGAACTATGGTAAAAAAACCCTACAGAGCCAATGATCTCTAAGATCAGACAGAGTCTCTTTACCTAATATATGCAGCTAAATATGTGTACTCCCTACATCTGCCATAGCAACAAGGAGAGCATGAGGAATTAACTGTGTTAATAAAAAAATTGAAGGGTCTCCTGTATGATACAACACAACGTGAGAAACCTCTCGGCATCAAAGCAAAAGAAATGTAACAAAAGCACAGAGAATTATTTCAGAGCAAATCATTGAAACCAGCTGATTACCTGAGCTTGCACATCCCTGCTGTAGGGAATCCTGTAATGATGTCACAGAGTGAAGGACTAGATAAGAGAGGAGAGGAAAATCAGGGAACAATAAAAGGAGATGCCAAACCACAAACTAAACAGTAAGCAGGCTCAACAAATAGCAAACCGCTTATCTCGGCCAGGGCACGCTGCTCATTTAAGTCAGTGGCATTGTAAGGGTACAACCAAGGCCAAACTCTAGTCTGGCCTTTCTGTATCAATAGGTATTAGGGTAAGAGAGAGCCACAATAAAAGTGTAATTGCAACACAGCATTCCCCCTTTAAAGCTTAGTTCTTCTAGCTCACCTCCTGAGAAAGCAATCGATATTCTCCTATGAACAATAAAAATCCCCTATGCAACCCTAGAAAACAGTGCACAAGATTTTCCAGCTCTTTGGCCAAAATTTTTTGCATTACGTATCATATTCATGCCTAGATAATATCGTCCTAATTAGGAACTTGATAACTGCTGCTTATCAATTAAGCATAAACGAGTGCTTTGTTAGTAAACATTCCCAGCGTGTCCCTCCTAGGGACCGGCTGGGCTGTGAGGGTGGATGCTGCCACTTCCAGTAACGCCTGGACTAGCACTGGGCGCAAGTCTCGCTTACTGCAAATTTAAAAAAACAAAAAAAAGTAGAAAATAAAATTTCCTCCTCCTCAACTCAAACAACATAGTGGAATTTTAATTACCTTGTCCTTGTTGCTGCCCTTGTGCAGGCAGGACACACTGTCCCAGCTCACCATTCAACCAGAGCTGCATACGAATAAATGGTTCTCGGCCTTTTTGGGTCAATTTACTCCATGGCTTTGGCCTGGAGAGCATGTCACTGACACTTCCTTGGGACAGCCCCAATACCTGAAGTGAAGCAACCAAGAATGGCACGTTAACACATTTGATGTGGAAGGGGGGGTAATTTAAGTCACTTTGGTTTCCTTTACTGCTATATCGCTCAAATCTGTTTTATACAGACAATTAGTAAAACTGCAAAATGACATCTGTAGGTAATTGATGGAAATGCTTTGCTCCTGCCGTGGTTTCCTTCTGGAGCATGGGGTTTTTCGTGCAGGAACAGAGCAGCAGCACAAGCGGCAAAAGGATGGCGTGAGATTTGCATGCTTTTCATATTTTGTGTCAAATAGTTTCATCAGTTCTAACAGGAAAACCACAGAGTCCAGGCACACACAGGCAGATAAAACAGGCAATGATTGGCATCTATTTTGTTCTCAAACAAAAATAATTGGGACTTTTGAGACTAGGCCTATATTTGGTTGATTTTTTTTTTTTGTATGAATTATAACGATGTGTGTTTTCACCTGTAGCAGTGGCTGCTCCACATAAGCAAATATTTAAGAATACAGCCGACTGCAGCGAAGGGGGAATTTCAGACAGGCAGAATGCAATTACTTGCCTGGAATTCAGCACAGGTACAGGGGTTAAAAATCATACTTAATGAAAGCTGCCACGGGATCTTTAATGACCCCAAGAGGTCAGGCTTTTCATTTTACATCTTAGTGAAAAGGTAATAGTGCAATGCCAGCTCCTATTATACTATTATACTGATTCAATTCTTTATAGGAAGAAGAAACAGCAGATGTCCACCACTTCTTACAGCCTGGGAAGCGCGTTCTGGTGGTTGGGGACCCCTCTCAAATCCCACATGTTCAATGCTTGGGGCCCACAACGCGAGAACTTCAGAAAACCTTATCGTGCATTGCATATCTGTAATCAAACATTGCTTAAAAATATCTGACAGCACACCAAGATACCAAGCACCAGGTGTAAGAAATCACTGTGAATTCTTGACTTAAGACTAAGGAGAGGTAGGGGATTTTCCGTCTGTTTGTTTAAATACCCTTGTGCGCATTTCCAAATATTAAAAAAAAAGGAAAAATGCTCTTGTGTCCATAATCTTCACTTATAACAAATTTAAGACTCTCCAGTCATGACAACGGTATTACTCAAATATTCCATGAATTCATTACATTAAGCATGAAATATTGAGTCTCAATAATGTTTGCTTCAGCTTTCAATGTTTCTAAACTCGGGGGCCCCATTTCCAATTTCAAGTGGCTGAAGCCAATCTTTGTAGAAAAACCTGTGCAATTCACAAAATACAGGAAAACTAATACTTTCCTTTGTGAGCTTATTTTTTAAATACTTAACATTTGTAGCAAAAACATTTTTCCAGAAGACATATGTGGCACATCCCCCTCCATCAAACTGAGCTCCGTACCAACGTAGGGAGCACAGTGCACATTCACAATACTGGTGTAACAAGAGAGAACCAGTTCTTTACCTTTTCCCCAAAGATCCTTTGGCAGATGCCATTCTTTGCTAGCTTTTCTTTGACCTGCCGCGTTAGCTCTATCGTATCCACTTCCTGGTACATATAAATCTCATACTGCTCGGGTGTCAGTGGAGGAACTGAAGGTTTGGATGGCTTTGACAAAGACACGATAGGGGATGAAGGGAGGGGGCTATTTTGTGGTGTCTCACTGCGACTCGCCCCAGAAGATGGTCCTTGGAGCTGGCTACGATCTGGCCTAGTCTGATTGCTGACCTTTTCTTTTCCACCACTGGCTTCCTCAACTTTTATATCTTCGGGAAGAGCTGCATTTCTTCTCTCATGCTGCACAGTATTCCACCAATGGTCCTTCCAAACACCACCACGTCCCAACTCATTTTTAACATGCCTCAACATACCCTGGGCAGAATCACTTATTCCATGAAGCTCTAAAACAGGCGCCTCCTGCGGCTCCTTTTTGAGCCCAGAGAGGTTCTGCAATGCAGAGATACTGGAATCAGTGACAGATGAATGTTTCTTCAGGGATATGGCCAAAGGAGAATAGCTGGAAACCGAAGACATTGCAGGTGTAGATACTAGTTTGGGGGACAGGATAGAAATGTCAGCTTGAGATAAAGGTGGTGTTTTTAAGGCAGGTTCAAGGGCAGCCTGCTGTGCCTCCATTTCGCGTCGGGCTTGTTGCAGAATGGATCGAATAGCATCATCAGAATTGCCACTGCTAGATGCAGAAGGCGGCTGAGCCGGCTCAGCTATGAAAAACAACCAAAAGACTAAATGCAACAGAGGAATATGCTTTATATTCAACACGTGCTACTGTAAATATTTCCCTGTCAGAAAAAGGGCTGCAATACATTTCTGGATGGGAGGGAGGAGTTTTCACTAAGCAAAGATTTGCACTTTTCAAAGTAAGGTAAGATTTCCAAAGTTCTTCACTGGAAAATTTTTAGAGTTGCCAAAGTGCTGGATATTTGCACGCACAGACTCAGCTGCAGAAGTCTAGTACTATTTGCATGTTTTCCACCATTGTAAAAATTTTCAAATAAATGCCTTTGAAAATCAAGCCTTCTCCTCTTCCTCCCCCACCCCAAGTGCTCAGCAACATTTTACAGTTCTATTTACACAGTTATTTAACCCTTAACTTCACTCTATTTCCACAAATGAATCGTAACACACACACAAAACTGAACACAGCTGCATTCACCTGGATGGACAATTAATACCCTCTTACAATATAAATAAGGTGAGTCCTTTTAACTCCAAAAATTTAATACACAAATTACAACAAAGCAAGAACTTTAGTGAGAGACTTCATTATTTCATTTGACAAATTAAATATGCTCCTGCTTCCTGTTTTCTTGTTCCACGGTCCCAACCAAAGAAATAAACAGCTCTACAAAAGTCATGTTGATGCCTGGCCATCACTCCCTGCCTTATCCGAAGCCCTAGAATGGAGCCACGGGTGCCTTCAGAAGAGGTAACACCTGAATGCAGTATTTCAGGGGTGAACTGGGCCTCGTGTGGCCGTGCTGCAGCAGACAGGGATGAGCAGAGATTGGAACGCGGCTGCAAAATTATCTCTGCAGAGCTAGGAGGTTTTTGCAATGGCATCTGTTTCCATTTAAGTCAAGTCTCCACCGAGGTCCCCAGTGCTTGAAAACCAATTCCTCTGAAAGCTACTCTACAAAGAATGGGGAAAGTAAGCACTAGATAGTAACAGGGAACCCACACACTGCAAGAAGTGGCCTCAAAGTGAAATAAGATTTGAAACACTCTGCGTATTATTCTAGTAATATTATGCCTCATCTGAATGCATTTCTGAATTTGCCTCCCTACATTCCTGCCTGTCACACACTATAAAATACATGAAAAGGTAAGGAATGGGAAAAAAGACAGTGGGATCATCTCTTCTGTTTTATCTACTTGTTTTACAGGGAGTTTTGAGGCTGAATTAATATTCAAAAGGAAATCTGAGGTTCTCAGCTGAAACACGCCACTGAACAACGTGCTTGAAGTTTCCTGCACACAGCCCACATTTTTCTCAGTGTAATCATTACTTGTATGAAATTGTATTATTCAAATAATGTATTAACTAGTCTTTTATATTTTGCCATGAGATTAGCTTAGTCTTCATTTAAAAAACAATCTATTATTTAGAAAACAAAACAGAAGTTAAGGCACAGGACTCTACTGCAGCAGTAGCCCTTGAGCAGTGCTGGGAAGTTGGGAGGGCTATGGAGTAGCCAGAAATGTTAACTACATGACAGCATACAACGAGAAATCAAACTTATCTTGGGCTAAGGTGTTAAAATAATGATGGTTTTGGGAAAGGAAATACTTTTTGGATTTGCTAGTTCATTCACTGACTACATTCTGTAACCAGAAATAAAGTCTTATGAAAGTTAGAACTGAGTTTGCCTATATTACAATTTCAGTACATGATGCCCACAGTCCTATGGTACTATGCGACTGGTAATTGCTGGCTAGATCATGACTTTCACCCGAACAAATCCATTCCCCTCTCCCATGCACTTGGGTCCCTGGGGCCTGAGTTAGATAGAAAACAAGAGAAAGCAATCGCCATTCCCTTTCCAAGGAGCAAACTGGTAGAAGAAAGGATTTTGTAGGTTTTTCCTGCAGAGTGACTTGCCTGCAGGTCTGGAGTGGTGTAAAGAAGGCAGAGCTCTGCCCTTGGGAAAAAAGGTGTTTAGAAATCTCAGTGTTGCTCCCCCGGGAGCGGGGCAGACCACTGAGCAGAGACCACGCCAAGCCGTGACATGTGTAACCTTAACTTGGGCTTTTTTTATTCAAGTTTTTAAGAATATAATTAACTGACCAGAAAGCTCATGGTAATTGTTTTAATTAAATTCTGAAATAAAAGGAGCAAGAGACAAAATGAGACTGTACCTGTTTTCTGTACTTGCAGCTCCCTTTTGGCTTGTTCGAGAATGGATTTGATGGCTTCATCAGAGCCAGTCTCCGTAGTTCGGATTCTTGTGGTTATATTACCTGAAGAGGAAAACAAAACTAATGACACCAGGAAAACTTCTATTCGTTTGGTTGGTTTTTTAATACAAAGACAGACAGCATATACTGCTATACCACCAGCAGGACCTGACGGAAGTTTACGTAGGACCTTTACCAACATTTACAACACCAAGAACATACTTAACACAATAAAAGAAAAATACCCTCGTTGTGCAAAAGCCTGCCCACTAGCTGCACTGGGACGATGAGAGCACTGACATCATCAGAGGAAGAACTAGGTGGTCATACATTCTTTTTCCATGATAAGACATATAGGTCTGTATTTTTTTCCTTTTCTTTGTTTTGGAGGGGGAGAAGAAACACAGAAGGGAAAAGAAACAAAGGGGAAAGGAAGAAAGCTAAAAACATAAGATCAGGAATCACCTTAAAAATTGCATCAGCTGCTAGGCAGAGTAGGATGAGTATACATTCAGCCCAAATCAGAATTAAAAAGTAACTAGATAAAAATAATTTTTAACTTTCTAGAGGTTAATACATTAAGAGAAACAGTCATTTAAGCGCAGATACCATTTGAAGTACTCTCCAGCTAAGAGCTATTACTTG